TTTTAAAATCTTCACTCACTGATTTAATGTAAGTAAAGGGGATTATTAAAGGAAGAAATGGCCGTAATTTGGAAACTAGAGCTGATTTTCAAACTCTAGCTTGAAAATGGAAAAATGTTTGACTTCTTGACTAAAAAATATGTCTAATTGCACTATTCAAAATGAATGGTGACTATGCAGTCCTGTGTCCTTCACAACTAGAGAGAAAAAAGACTCTAAAAATGAGAAAAATGAGCTAAGTATTCTACATATTTAGGAAACAACAAAAAGTCAAGTCTGTGAATTAAAAAAAATCTATAAGCAAGATAAAACAAAACCCCATTTATGTTTCACTTAGAATTTAGGCAGAAATAAAAAAATAAGCTAGACATTGCTGGCAGGAAAAATTAAAAACAGAACTCATTCTATGTTACAGCAGAGAGACAAATGAATACTTTCATTCAGAATACAGTTCCCTTTCCATGGATTAAACTCTCCTTCCTGGTTTTAAACCCCCTGAGCTCTCAAGAGGCTTTTATTGTTACCCCAAATCATCTTCTCCACTGAAATACTTGTCATTCTCATACAACTTAGCTTCTAGTTTTTGGCTATTCTGTCATCCTCGCTTGTGCAGTCAGACAGCGTGGATATCTGAAGGCAGGTGGCCATGCCTCACCCTGTACCATGCCCTCCTCAGGGCAACAACTGTGCTGAACATCAGGAGCTTGGAGAGAGGCTAAGAGTCTTGCATATCCTTCAAGTGACGCCTCACCTACATATTAGCCAAGTTATTTTCTGAACTGGAGTTTCATCAGCTGTAGAATGGGGACAATCACACCACTAACTTCTTGGATTTGTGGGCAGATGGAAGGAAATAATTCACAAGTACTTAGCAGAGCGCTTGGTACCCAGAAGCCCACAGTCACGACAGCCTATCACCACGGCTGCTCCATCCACAGTTGCTGGCCACCACAGATAATCTGGAATCTTTGACCCAGTCCAGAGGCAAAATGTTGTTATGAAATTAGGAAGTCACATATATTTTTAAATTCTCTTTTTAATATTGGAGTATAGCCAGGTAGCAATGTTATGATCATTTCAGGTGGACAGCAAAGGGACTCAGCTATACATGTATATGTACCCATTTTCCCTCAGACTCCCCTCCCATCCAGGCTGCCACATAACATTGAGCAGAGTTCCCTGTGCTATACAGTAGAACCTTGTTGGTTATCTGTTTTAAATATAGCAGTGTGTACATGTCGATCCTAGACTCCCTAACTATCCCTCCCCCCATTTCTATTCCCCTGGCAACCATAAGTTCACTCTCCTAGTCTGTTTCTGTTTTGTAGATAAGTTTATTTGAATAATTTCTTTTCAGATTCCACATATAAGGGATGTCATGCAATATTTCTCCTCTGTCTGACTTATTTCACTCAGAATGACAATCTCTAGGTCTATCCATGTTGCTGAGAGTGGCATTATTTCATTTTTTAATGGCTGAGTAATATTCTATTGTGTATATGTACCATGTCTTATTTATCCATTCCTTTGTCAATGGACATTTAGGTTGCTTCCATGTCTTGGCCATTGAAAACAGTGTTACAATGAACATTAGGGTGCATGCATCCCTTTGGACCATGTTTTTCTCTGGGTATATCCCCAGGAGTGGGGTTGCAGGGTCATATAGCTTTATTTTTACTTTTTCTAAGGAATCTCCATACTGTTCACCATAGTGACTATACCAATTTACACTCCTACCAACAGTGTAGGAGGGTTCCCTTCTCTCCACACCCTTTTCAGCATTTATTGTTTGTGGATTTTTTGATGATAGCCATTTAGACTGGTGTGAGGTGATATCTCATTGTAGTTTTGATTTGCATTTCTATAATAGTTAGAGTATCTTTTCATGGGCCTTTCAGCCATCTGTATGTGTAAGTCACATATTTTATATCTGCCCCTTTAGGTAGATGGTCTTTTCTTGCCTGGGGAATCTACTATATTTTCTTTTTTTTTTAATTCACATTTTAATACCTTGGAACTCAAGATGTATCTTCCAATCTAATCCTCTAAGTAGCTGAAAGATGTTTTGTTATCTTTGATTCTATCAAATATAGCATGCATTTTGCAGATTCTTTGAAGGCAGAGATTTAGAAATAGAATTAGAGTACTCAGAAGCCTCCATTTCTTTTTCTATGTTGCTCGTCATGCTTTTAACTCTGCCCCGGGAGTCCCAGCTTCAGAGTGCACTATTATCCTCTAAATCCTGCAGACAAAGGGACACTGCTTATTTCACCATGTACGTGATTTTTTTAACCCATTTGAAACCACTTCAAATGGAAAGCAATTCACATTGAAATCTAATACTCAGAAGGCAGAAAGCTCTGGTAATTAGAGCTCTCTCACAGTTAAAACCTATTTGGCCACTACTGTCTTGAAAAGCCCTAAAGAGGTTGGTAGATGTCCTGGTTTTTCCAAAACATGTATGAGTTTTGCCTGTTGTCCCAGCATAATTATTAACACCAACTCCTTTCATTCTCAGGAGTCCCCTGGTTGGGATGATAAATTATATGATTACCCAACATGAAGGCCAACAAATGTCTGAAATTTATGGCTTTAATTTCTTCTATTTTAATTTTGTCTTTGTTATCTGTAAAACTGGGCTTTTAGGCAATCAATCATCTGTGTGGCTCAGGCAGTGTTCATTCCTTCAGATTTTTGCTGAACACTGGTTAGACAGTGAGAAGCATACCACACATGGCCTTAAGTCATTGAGTTTACAATTTAGTAGAACAAACAAACATTGGGTAATTATATAGTGAAAACATCACAATGCCTCAGGAGAGGTACAAGATGCTATGATTGCCTATAAAATATAACACTTGGGGAGGCAAGGTAGGACACATCAGCAGTTGAAATACATCTGGATTGTTTTTTGATCCCAAGAGGATGCCATCTTATTTTAACCCTGCATTCGTAATGTCATTGTGTCCGCCTTCCATGGTGAGGAGACAGTTCAGTACAAAGAGGCCCTCTGAAGATGAGTTCTAAGTAATAATCATAAGTCTGTAAAAAGCAAGAAGCAGAAACTTAATCCTTGATTTCTTATTTTAAGTGACAAAGCCATGACAGCAAAAGCGAATAAGGGAGAGAAGGACAGAACAAAGCTGCTTGGTATTGTTAAGTTTCTTGAGGGTGAAAATTGTGTCATATATTCGGTTTTGTTTTTCTCCTGAATTCTTCTCAGAATATGGTTCTAAGCACATGGCAAAAAGGCTCAGAGCATCTTGTGATGACTGAGAAAATGAAACTCAGAGAAAGAAGGCACAGAACTCAGATTCAAACAGAGGAGGGAGAAAGTGAAAAGGTGTCCTCTGGGGCTTCTCACAGTCTCTGCTTCCTGTCTGAGATCTGCCATGTCAGCGCCCCACACAGACTGTGGGTTGGCAATCTAGAGGAGGATGAGTGAGCATGAAGACTCTGAGAGGGATTCTATAGCCTACAAATAGGCAAAGTTTTTCCTAGGAAGGAACTGGGTGGTGGCTACCAAAAAGCCAGTATGGGAGAAAGTGCTCTTGTCAACAGGATTCCCAGTTATTGAGAAAAACACCAGGTGTGTAAATTTTACTTCAGAGATCGTACATGATTAACCAGTCTGCTTTCCATTTATCCACTGCCTAGAGAGCACATTTTCAATACAAATGGGCCCTTCCAAAAATAGAAAATTAAATAATAATTATGTTAAGTGCCAAGGCCAAAGAGAAAAAAAAAAGGATTAGTCTACAGTACTTGCACAGAGAGTCTATAAATTCTGATGCTACATTTTTAACCAAGGATCTGTACTAGTTCTAATAAAGTCTAGATGTTAAATAGTGGTGGGGAAATAGTCGATCTAGCCAAATGCTTAGTAAATGAGACATAAAAACTCAGCAGATTCTTCAAGGATTCGAGATGACAGTGGCAGAGTCACATGTGTTGATTGTTCATTTAATGATGTCTAATGTATTATGGTATATATTTCATACGTGTAATAAATGCAGATTAGTAGACAGAGCTCTGATGCTAGGATGAAAGAGATCTAGGTTTGAATCTGGCAACACTGTTTGTCAGGGTTTCTCCTTGGTGAATCTTTGAGCCATATTTTTCTCATCTGAAGAATGGGAATATTGTAATGAAGTGTGGAGTCCTCTTTAAGTTTTGAGAATTGAATAGGATAATACATGAAAGTACCTTGTGGTGCCTGGCATATGGAAACCCAGTTAAATAGTAGCTGCTTTGATGGTGATTAGGTTCAAAATTCTTAAAAAGCCCCTAGATGATAATTTAATGTCTCCAAATCACAAAATCTCAGATTTAATACTGGTCTAAATATACCTGCTCTGCTCATTTATCACTTACAATAGAGATCAAGTGCGATACTATATATAGGAAATTGCCATCAAAACTATCAACTCCTTTATAAATATCAAGTATTATCCTTTTCTCTCTATTGTCTGTTTGGGTTTATAGCTACTTGTGTTATTTGTTTGTCTTTGACACAAATGCCCCAAGTGAAAGAGATACATTGCTTTTGCTGACTTGTCTGCAGCACACCCACCCCAGGGACTCACTATAGGGTGGATGATAGAAGTTGGGACTCAAATTTTCTCTCCAAAGAATCTTCTTCCTACCCATTCTATATCTTTTCCTTCATGCACTTTCTTCATTTCTATTTCAGTTAATTCATTTAATATTTATTAAGCCCCCAGATGTCATTTTTCCTTCTCTTTGTCTAGGCTTAGTTATAAACAGTACCAATACTCATTAATTCTGATCTTGTTGTTTACTAATGGTGACCTTGGGCAAATTAAGCTCAATGTGCTCAGTATTACTTTTATTTGAAAAATGGGGACATCTACCTCCAGGATTGCTATAAGAATTAGGTAAGAGTTAGATGTCATGTTCCATCAGGACCTGTTGAATGCAGCAGGTTGTGCATGCCCTCCTGTGCATTCAGCCCAAGGCTGCCCGTGGACTTGACTGACCTGTGAATGATGCGCTGGCTCTGCAGGTAGTCCAAGGCCATGGCCAGCTCACAGATGAATAGCTTCACAGTGTCTTCCTGGAAGCGGACGTTCTGCTGCAGGTGGTAACGCAGGTCCCCGCCCAGCAGGAGGTCCACCACCATGAACATGTCTTCCTCATCTTGGAAGGAATACCTAGAAAGGAATTAGAAATGCAAGTGGGTTAAATACATTTACACACTAAAGAAGCCTAGAGGCAAAGGACACCTTGCAGATCCGAGCCAAGCTTTCCTGAGCTAAGAATCCAGGCTTTGGGAGTACTGGTCTGTTACTTGTTTTAGGTCCTCAGTTTCCACATGTGTAAAATGCAGATAAGAAGATCTTCCACATTGGATTATAGTAAAGACTAAATATGATGAGTGTAACTTTTGTTTTTTTGGTGGTGGTGTGGCTTCCGTGGTGGCTCAGATGGTAAAGAATCTGCCTGCAATGCTGGAGACCTGGGTTTGATCTCTGGGTTGGGAAGATCCCTGGAGAAGAGAATGGCTACCCACTCTAGTATTCTTGCCTGGAAAATTCTGTGGACAGAGGAGTCTGGTGGGCTACAATCTATGGGGTCACAAAGAGTCAGACACGAATGAATAACTAACACTTTACTTTTAACTAAAGACTAAATATGATGAGTGTAGCATTTTAAAAATTTATTTGAATTGCAGGATCATTTCTGCTGTACAACACACATCAGCCATAAATATAAATATATCCCTTCCCTCTTAAACCTTCTTCCCACTCCACCCTTCTAGGTTGTCACAGAGCATTGAGCTCAGCTCCCTGTGTTATACAGCAGCTTCCTACTAGCTATTTTATTAATACATATGGTAATATATGTCTCAATACTACAATGAGTATAATATTTAATGTTATTCCTGGCATACAATAAGCACCCATTAACCATAAGTCTACAGAGCTATAAAGCCCAGAAAATGAAGAAAACTCCATTTATTCACCTGTCATTAACAATCATATCCTGAACACACTGCTACAGGAGGTCCATAAAACACGAGTCATGAGGCCTCCTTGAACCATCTCATGCTTATTTTTCCACATTAACGACTTCACTGCTTAACATTATAACAAATCATAAACCACATTCATGATAAGAAAAAAGATATAAAGAGAGCCATAAAGAAGTAAGTGTATAGGAAAGGGAAGTAATTCACTCAGTCCTGGGGATGAGCAGTGACAGGAAATCTTCTCAACACAGGAGACACTGGAGTTAAATTTTGAAGGATGGTGACAATAATAAATACAAAATAAAGCCAACATGGCTGAGGTTTCCATTAGATGGCTTCTCCGGGGCAGGCTCTAAAAGCACTCTACACATGTTGTGTCATTGACTCCACAATGCTGCTCTTATACTCCCATTTTACAGAGGGGGAAATCAAGGCCCAGAGAAGCTTAAGTAATTTACATGAGATGAAACATCCTATAGACGGCAGCACTGAAGGGGTCTCCAGGTCCAAAAGTAAGATTTAAAAGAGGAGAACAGCCTGGATTAGCATAGACATGGGAAAGAACACAGTGTGAGGAGGGAGAGGAGAAGAGTGAGGTTCGTTGGAATGGTGTGTGATGGGGAAGCTGGAGAGGAAGGCAGAGAGCAGATCCCCTGACATGAGCTTCACAAGTCTGAGCATGCTGGAGACACCCTGAAAAGGGTTAAGCAAGACACATGATCAGACTTGAAGGAGCAAGAGCTGGAGGGATGCGAAGAGGAAGTGAGACACAGGTGAGCAGGATTGGCCTCTGCTTGTTTTCAAAGAACCTCCTGTAAAAATACATTCCAACTGCTCTGATTTGGTTTGTTTTCCTCAAAGCACAGACATGATTTCTAGTCACAAAAAGCCCTCTGTATCAACACTACTGTGACATGTTTCTTTTGACATCATGTCACAGAGATCACATTTTAAAGTTTTATTTGAATCACAGAATTAAGAGACCGCAAAGCAGTGCCCAGGGATGCAAACCAATGCCGAGGGACAAATTCTTTGCTTAGGAAATAAACGTAGAATATCAATGATGGAAGAAGTGGATTGAGAACATTTTCTTCTTTAGAATGATCATTGTGCTACAGGAAGAGGAGACTTGCAAACAAAAGAAAAATGAGCAATTCAATGAAGCATTAATCTAAGGGAGTAACATTCTAATGAAAGCTAGGTTCTCAGAGTTCACTTGTTGAACAAATAAAATTCCGTTTACCAGTGAAGACTGATTCACACAGATGTCAGAAATTAAGCCTTGGGGTGGGGGACCAGATTATGATAGAAACACAGGAAGTGCTTGGTAACAATCTGAGAAGTGTAGGAAGTGTTATTCTTCACCTTCATGCAAGGACTGGCTAGGTATCTCTGCCACAGGTTTAATGGGCACCAGGATAGGTGCCTGGACCTGGGCGATTTGGTTCACAATCCTCCCAGCTGCACCACTACACATTTTATCTGTTGTGTTTTACAGGTTTTCAGGAAGTAAGGATGTGCTAATTATATGCCTGAGACCTATTGCACCTTGGGCTATCCTCAGCTAATATAATAGAAATGATGATGGCTCATGGCATGTAAACAGGATCTTACTGGGATAGCTGGCAAATGAGGTAGGTGAGGACTGGGTACCAAAAGGAGAGAGAAGAGAGTGCTAACCATGAGCATCACTGGATGCCCCTGGAAACAACCTAGGCAGACTGGGTTCACATACAGAGCAGTGACTGGCTGTGTTCAGCTCCCTGCTGGGGGCAGGATGGAGGTCCCCAACCTGGTCACAGACCAGAAAACTCCTCTTCCATTACTTCCTTTAACGTTAAGTGGGGGACAAAGGTCTTTTTAAATTCACCCTGAGTGAACAAACATTTTTTATTGTGACTTGGGCGAAGCTCTTTTTATCCAAAAAAAAGGACTGATAAAGGTGCCGACTGTGGCAAGTGAACAACAGTGCTGGACCATGCAGGGGATGATTAATCAAAGAAAGAAGCATCCCAGGCAAGAAGCACCATGCTTCCCTTGCCCAGCATGATTTTAAATTTCTTTAATCATGGAGCCAGGTGTGGCTGTTAAAAATCCTCTTTCCCCTTTCACACATCAGATCTGAGGCCCTCTATCATAGATCCTAAACTCTCAGAGGGAGAGAAGATAAGTTTTTTATTTCCAGAACCATATTCAGTAAAATATGTGAGCATAATGCAGTTTGGTAATAACTAGGATATGAAGGTTCATATCATAATCTGATTTTTTTTTCAGCATAAAAGAGTAAGAGCTTCCCTATACCTTGACCATTTATCCCATCGTCTCAGAGATGCATTTTTCATTACTTTTAAAAAAATGCTATATCATAGCTTGCTTATTTCTCAGTTGACAGCTCCAAAATTAGTAAGTCTGGTCCCCATGCATGTGAAGTGCATTGTAAAGTCTGCTCACTAAGAGAGGAGATAAGTGACAGGACTACCACCCTACCCCACCCCACCCCACCATATTGCAGCAGACTATTCACAGCTCTCTGTATCATGTTGAAATTCTCCAGTCCATTCTACACACCATGGTTATCTTTTTACAAGGTGAGTTTTATGTTCTCCAGCCTCAGGAGTCCACTTCACCTCTTTCCATGGTCTGCAGGACCCTATGTGACCTGGCCCTGTTTACTTCCCCAGATTTATCTTGAAGATCTTTTCCTTCCATTTCTCAGCTAGTAGTTCATGCCCCTGCAGCCTTAGGAGATTGAGCTGTGGTGTGGCCTTGCCTGCACACTCAGTGTGGTCCGCTGCCTGGTTATTGTCACTTCATCTTTCAGTCTCAGCCCAAGGGACACTTCTCACAGAGACATCTCTAGTACTCCATGTGAAATCATGTCTCCCTATTATACACAATGCCATATTCTTATGCACACAACTTTTCATAATTTGAAAGTATTTTCCTGCATGCTTTTGGATTAACTGCTGTCGTTTCCACTATGCCATCAACCAAATCAGTTGCTCACCTGCTTGGAAATGGAGCTTTGGAAAGAACTATGGGGTTGGCCAAAAAGTTCGTTTGGGTTTTTCCATAAGCTGTCATGACAAACCTGAATGCCCTTTATGGCCAACTCAATAAAATATTTTCCAATGGAGTGTTTTTTAAACTGTGAGTCATAATTAATTAATGGTTGTGAAGTCAGTTTGGTTGGTTTTAACAAGCACTTAAAAAAAAAAAAGACTAACATAAAATAAATGCTATTAACATGTAAGACTATAAACATTGTTTGTACATGTGTGTCTCTCTGAGTATATCTCCTGGGTTGTAATGAAAAATATTTCTTCCTGTGGGTGACAGAGAAAAAAGCCTGAAAACCATGACATTAGGGGAACCTGCTGTTTGTTCCAGAGCTATTGTGTCAAATCTGCATTGAGACTTTACCTGAGCAAGGGACAGTTCTGATGTCTCCATCTAGCAAAGCATGGGAAATGCAGGACAAATATCAGCATTACAAATATCAGTTATTACTCAGCTTTGTAGAAAAAGATACTGATTCATCAAAGATGGAATCCATTTAGAAACACACAGATAGAAAATACAAATGGAAAATGCACAGGCTTTCGGCAGGCCTAGGTTTAAATATCAAATGTTAATTTAGAGCAAGTTCCTTAAAGGAAACTGAAACTCAGAGAGGATATTTGTACATAAAAAGCAAATTAGATATAACGTTTGTAAGTTAATTAGCACAAAGTGTGGCACATAGCATGGTGGTAAGGAACCTGGCTTTGGGGTTAGACTGCTTGTGCTCAAATCCCCGTTCTGCCTTTTAAAGTTTTTAAAATTAGATGCACCAAGTTATATAAGTCACCAGCATGCCCATCTATACTGGTACATACTTCACAGGGCTGCTGGTAAGATTAAGTGCAGTTCATGTACATAAATTGCTTAAAACAGTACCTGGAAGTACCTTGAGGATAGATATTATAATAACCTTTGCTTTTCCACCCATGAATGTAATATAGCTCCGGTGTTAAGCAGATTAACTTATTTTATGCATTGTTTCCTATTATTTTACAGAAATGATTATATGAAGATATTTATTGACTGGTTTATAGCTGATTTACAATATTGTGTTAGTTTCAGGTCTACAGCAAAGATTTTTAGTTATATATATGTGTGTGTGTGTGTGTGTGTGTGTGT